ATAACACAACTTGTTATTTAAACCAGAAATGACTTCGTCCATGGCCTATTCTATTCAAACATTGTTACATATTATTTACTGAGTTTCTAAACATAAAAAATTTCAATTCCCATCCTGGGTTTGGATAACAAAAAGTAAAGAAAAAAAAAAGGTCCCTGTTTTAGAACACTGTATAACTCACACAAGTGAAGTCAAACGGGGGAAAATCACAGCAAAGGGGGGAAAACCAAAGGGTTGACTAGAAAGTGACCAAAACATAAATTATAACATAATCATATCATAGCAATAGATCATAGAGTTGGGACTGGGACGAGATAGATGAAAAAAAAAAGAAAAAGGCCTAGGTTCGTTATTACTACACACTATGTTTAAGAAAAACATAGATTTTTATTAAGTTTAATTAGTCAATCACTATCCCATAAACACCATGGTTGTTTTAGCTTTGGTTTTGTTTAAATGAGTGATTAAAAAAATTTAGAAACTTTTATTTAGAGAGCTTTATGTGTTGAGTTGTCTTGTCTCATTCTCTTGCCTTGCATTTGCCTTCTCCCATCCTCCCTTTTCTTGTTAGTGCTTCCACAGAAATGATGTCCCAAAAGAAAATGTTTTTTTTTTTTGGAATTCCCACTATCTTTAGCTAATGGAATCATTTACTTAATAAGAATAGGAAAGACTTGGAAGTTGTGGGTCTGTGGTAAACAGATTTAGCTTTTAGAGGCTGCAGCTTAAGAATCAATCATAGAGAAAAGAATTTTTAGACATATTTAGTTATATAAATTATTTTTTATTAGTAAATACTAAATATTTGAACAATTGTTTAGTTAAATTTCTCGAATATAATGCCCTTTTTAGGAATTTGGCATTTATAAAATCACTTTTCAAACCAAACATTAATAATTCAAAATCACGTCTAATTATATGAAAATTACTTCAAACCAAACATAAATCAATAGTAATTAGATCAATTTTACAAAATCAATTATAATTAATCTCTTTCTAAAATTTATTAATTCTACCCACTCCAAAACACACCCTAACTATGGTTGTATTTCTACTGTTTGCCATCACATTTATTTGTCTTTAGCTCTAGGTTCATATTTATTTGTCTCTATGATTGTATTTCTACAGCTTGCTGCCATATTTATTTGTCTTTAGCGATTGGTCCAATGTGCAAGATTTTAAATAAATTCTTATAAAAAAAGGTTTTAAATAAATGAGTATTTTGAATAAATAATTATCTTGCAGTCAAATTCATACCTGAAATTTGCTGTATCCTGGTTTTAAAATTAAAAATTGTGATATTTTCATACTGATTTTAACAATGAGTTATTTGTCATTCTGTCGCTGTGTTATTTCTACAATTTGAGTGTTTCGGTGGCCGTGTTAATGTAGGTAAAGACGACGAGATGTTTTTTGATTCACAGGCTTGGTTGGACTCTGATAACAAAGATTTCTTCAGTGTTAATGGAGGTCTGAATTAGTCTGATTCTAAGCTTATTTTATCTCTGAAACATTTTAGTTTTTACTTCTGGGAAGGGAAGGTGTTTCAATCTGTCCTCTTCAACTTTTCTTATCTTATTTTATAAGATTAAATTGGATATAAATCACTCACTCTAAATTCTTGGATTTGGATTGCACGAGGGAGAGCTGGAACTAGAATAACAAAGGGGAGGATGGTAGAAAATTTGACAAAATCAGTCACCTTGAAAATAGAGGTTTTGTTGAAAAGTAGAGTACCACCCACTTCTACCAACTGATCCCGCTTCCACCCTATTTAGAGGTTACTAGGGGCTATTGTTCCCTTCCCATTTTCCAACTTGGACCATTAGCTAGGAACTTCTAAGCAATAGAGATCCCCAAAGTTTGGTTTGGGCCTCATGGGTGACGAGGGAGATGAAGAATCCGCCCCCCAAATTCCAAGAAAATCCTTGTTCGGAATCAGATATAACTCTCCATTGGTCCAGGTTTTGTTAATTGGGTTGGTTTGCTTTTGTTGTCCCGGTATGTTCAATGCCTTGAGTGGCATGGGGGGTGGTGGGCAGGTGGATCCAACGGCTGCCGATAATGCTTCTACTGCCCTTTACACTACTTTTGCCATATTTGGCATCATTGGGGGCGGTGTTTACAACATCCTTGGACCCCGTCTCACTCTATTTGCCGGTTGCACCACTTATGTTCTGTACGCCGGTTCCTTCCTCTACTATAACCATCATAAGGATCAGACCTTCGCCATTATTTCTGGTGCAATCCTCGGTGTGGGTGCTGGATTCCTTTGGGCTGGTGAAGGTGCCATCATGACTTCCTACCCCCCGCCCCACCGCAAAGGGACTTACATTTCCATCTTCTGGAGTATATTCAATATGGGTGGCGTTATTGGGGGTCTAATTCCCTTTATCCTCAATTACCAGCGTTCCACGGCTTCTTCCGTGAACGATGGTACCTACATCGGTTTCATGTGCTTCATGTCGGTTGGGGCAATCATTTCTTTGGCCATTTTGCCACCCAGTCGCGTGGTTCGTGATGATGGCTCGCGATGCACCAACATCAAGTACTCCAGTGTTTCCACCGAGAGTGTTGAGATTCTCAAGCTGTTTTTCAATTGGAAGATGCTGTTGATAGTCCCTGCTGCATGGTCCAGTAACTTCTTCTATACCTACCAGTTCAATAACGTTAATGGGGTATTATTTAACTTGAGGACAAGAGGGTTCAACAATGTGTTCTACTGGGGAGCACAGATGGTGGGTTCGGTTGGGATAGGATACATATTGGATTTCAGTTTTAAGAGTAGGAGGACCAGAGGTTTGTTTGGAATTGGTGTGGTTGCACTCTTGGGTACTGGAATATGGGCAGGTGGGCTAGCCAATCAGCTGAGATACTCCCGCCATAAGTTGCCAGACAAGTTGGATTTCAAGGATTCCGGTTCTGATTTTGTTGGGCCTTTCTTCTTGTATTTCTGTTTTGGATTGCTGGATGCCATGTTCCAGAGTATGGTCTACTGGGTTATTGGAGCCTTGGCAGATGATTCAGAGACCTTGAGCAGGTATTTATCACCCTCAATCTCAATCTTTTTTGTTATTGATTTTGAATTCTGATATTGGTTGGCTGCCTTTAAGGGGCAGCCTAGTTGGTTTCTTGGTCATACTGACTCAAAAGCCTCAAGTTCGAATCTTCTGGTGAACTTAATACTAAAACTCTTGATGTCTTCGGGTCCAGGCCTTGGGTGGGTGCGGGTGCCCTTAGGTATAGAGGAGCAAAGCTCCCACTCCCACTTTTTAAAAAAAGGAATTTTTTTTTTGATGGTTGGTTGGAGATAGGTTGTATTATAGCTCATAAATGACAATGTATAGCTGGTAATTTGGTGTTGAGATTGGGCATAAAACAGGTACAGTGGATTCTATAAGGGAGTGCAGAGTGCAGGGGGTGCTGTTGCTTGGCAAGTTGACACCCACAGAATCTCTTACATGTCCCAGCTAGTTGTGAATTGGTCGCTCACAACACTGAGTTATCCTCTGCTGGCTGTACTGGTGGTGTTGGCGGTGAAGGATGACGATACTGATGAAACAAGCCACGAGGCTACTCAGTCTGCAGTCAAGTGATGGTGAGCTTAGGTTTTCTTTTTACACACCACATAATATGTATGTTGCTGATAATGCAATGTTAATTGTACAGTGCTGGTGCTTTTATTTGCCCTTCATGAGAAATCCTTCTGCCTGCTTTCTTTAGATTTTTTGTTGGTTGGTTCTGCTAGCCGTTACCAAACTTTGAGGTATTAGTTTCAGCCATGGTTGGTATTATATATTTATTCCAATAAATAAAAGAGTGAAGCAGTAGTGCTACATAGGAGAAACAGAAACGTTTTTTTTTAGTACAATAAATTAGAGATATGGAGATTTGAACCTCAAATCTCGAAGAAAATAGTAGATGTCATTTGCTGCTGAGTTAGCTCAAGATGGCGAAACGTTATTTGTAATAGAGAGGAATACGAATACCATTATTTATTGTTTGAGATTTCATGTATAAAAGTACTGAGGTAGAAGAAAGTTTTATTGGATAATTTTAACCATAATTTTTTTGTAATATACCCAAACTATCGTTTTATAAATTAAAAGCAACTTATAAAAACTCATCAACTAACCTCACGCTCCAATCTACAGTCACGTAGCACTTTTTAAGGGGGAAAAAAACATTCTCCACACTCCAATTAACACCCAAGTAAATATCATCCCAACTCACAAACCCACCGTAAAGAAAAAAAAACTTTCTAGCTGCCTTTTTCAATATATAAAATTTTCATTTTTGTATATATATGAATTTACTACAGGTATACAAAGACAAGTAGTTCTAAGTGTACTAACGTCATTTTTTAGATTGTGTCAAACATCATTTATCATTTTTTTTTCCAATTCTATATCCAAATTTTATCTTTCTATTTTCCATTTTCAGTATTTATACCACCATTTATTTAGAAAATTATATTTCGTTAAAGAATTTTAAGTAATTTCACAATGATGAAGTGACAAAGTTATGGTAATTTGAAGAGGAACAATAAAGATATATACAACCCATCAATGTATACTTGATTGATGAAGATGTATAATCTTTTCTAATAGTCCATTTACTTTACTATTTTTCTATTTTCTATTAGTTTTGTTCTCATACTTTTATTTTTTCGGAAACTTAAATCTAATATGTGATGTGTTGATGTAGGAATTTGACCTCTTGGGTTCTTGCTAAATTCACACGAAATTTCGATAATCGCATAATTGATAACTTGCAAAATCAAACAACACTAAATTGGTGCGACATCCGTCACCTAAGTTAGGAATGGAGAAGTTGTTTGCAAAGTATAAGGGTTGTTTGTAGCATACCTCTAGGGTTTAGCATGTCCATCCATTTACAGGGGTTTCTACATTAGGATATTCTTGGAGATCTCATAGTTGATGGAGCTATGGAATCATGGGGACCTTCAGATTGGACCTCTTCAATTGATTGGAGAGGAGGGTAGGGATTTTCCGGCCATTTGGCCAAGCCCTGATCAGCGTCGAGCAGGGGTTGGGGTCGAGCCCTAGTTGGCCCATGTGGCTTGGCCCCTCTGGCCTTTGTTTGATCGTTTTGCTCAATTGGGCCTCTTCGATTATCTTAGGCCCACTCTTTCTTTTTTGACCGAATCTCATTCCATAACAATTGCCCCCACTCTCAATATGATGATTTTCTATTGGCTGGGTTCATCCTAGGAGCATATCTGTTGGAGTGGGCATGTCGGGGGGAAAACCATACTAATTTTGCCAAAACCGACACTGTACGTGTCAGGATTCCTCGGTCTGGCCTGCATCTAAGTGGGTCATGGATTACCCATGACAAGATTTGTCACTGGTTTCTACCAGGCTTATGATCGAGCAATTCTCGGTCAGTCATTGGTCAGACCCGTGACCGTGTTGTTCTCGATCACGCCTGTGACCGAATAGGTCTCGGCCAATCCGAGGACTGGTCAGGGAATCTCAATCTTGGTTGTTCGGATTCCCCTCCCGGCCCATTGGTCTTAGACCATCGGTACGAGCCTCCCTTGGTCTTTTCTTCTTCGGTTTTGGGCTATAGAAACCCTCGCTTCTTCCTTGATCGTTGCTCATTTCCATTGCCTAGAGGTAATATGCTTTTCTCTCTTCTTTTCTCTTCTCGTCCTTATGGCATCCGATAGTTGCTTGAACATCGAGTGGACCACCTGAAATGATGAGTTTTCCTTGGACCCGTCTTTTGAGTATGTATCATACCGGCCTCCGTGTCTGGATAACTCTACCATGATCGTGAGAGATTTACATCGTCTTCGTGCAAAATACCATATTCTCGGCTCTGTTAGCCTTCGGCTTCCGCGTTGAGTCGAGCCTCGGATGTGGATGTGATCGATTTGACGGAGGACGATCCTCCATCCTACCAATATAAGCACGATCTTCGATGTCCCCGGTTGCTTCTCACCGTTCTGCTCGCCTTCAAGGGGTTTCTACTCCCTCTTCTTCCCATGGTCACCCAAGATCCTCTTCTCAGGCCTCGACCTTTCCATTTTCTGGACCATATTATGCTGACACCGATAAGTTGGTTTATTTGGAGAGCGCATTCGACCTTTGGCAGGGGCTTGGTGAGTCGTCTGTTGGATCAAGCTTTGGGTATTCTGACCCCCAACTGAGCATTGATACCTGCCTTAACAATCTTCATCGAGCCAGTATCGTAGTTATTTTTCATACTTTCGGAGTCATGCACATTCTAACTCCTGTTTTGCTTTTTAGGTTTTCATCCGCTTGGTTGTGTTTTCTGGTAGAGTTGCCGACGAGATTAATCATCTTTGTCGCAACTACGCTCCCCGGGATGAGTTGGATTGGACTTTTTTCTTCTTGGATCGAGCCAATTGTCTGTTACAGAATGCTCAACGTGACCTCGAGGCTGAGAAGAGGAGGTCTCGGGTCGAGCTGGTTGACTTGCAGAAGAAGCTTGATGAAGCGAAGGATCAACTCTCCAACTCGGAGTTCCTGGCGGGAAAGTTTAAGAATACTATGGAATACATCGTATAACCCTGCTATGGAATGTGGTGTTTCGTGGTCTCTCTGTCAGCTCTCCAATGAACACCTTAGGACAGACTACTCATTTCTCCAAGAGCGCTTTAGGACCGAGTGCGATGCTCCTGACGATATGGATGATGACAATGACGAGTAGAAGTAGTTATGTATGACAACGAGTTTAGTTGTTTGTGTTGCCTCCCCTTTATATAAGTGTTTTGGGGTGTCATCTGTTGTTGTTCTTTTTATCGTCTTGTCGGTAATTGTTGTTAGAACTTTGGAATTTTTAATTAAGTCTCTTTTGGCACTACTACTCGGTTTAATTCACCGTTAGCTTTTGTTGGTCTTAGGCTCCAATCTGACTGGGCTATTTCGTGTGCCTTCAACTCCTTGTTCTTTTTATCATCTTGTCGGTAATTGTTGTTGGAACTTTGAAATTT